ATTAACAAATTGACAAGAATATTAATTTATTTGCGTTACGAAGCTAAGCAGATACTTTATTCCTGCACGTTCTGAATGGCAATGTGTGTTTATCAGTGAGTGTTTCGATATGTCTTAAGTTATGTGATAACTAATTTGAATAACGGTATATAAGTGTTGAGTAATAAGAACTAAGAGTTAGTCCGTCGGGTCTGTGAACAAATCTGGAAGGGCAACTAGCAGCAACTTAATTATTAGTTTAAAGCTCTCGATAAGATGCATTAAGCCTCGAACGCCATGAAAAGTAGTTCCTTAGAGAGAGCGAAACGCGCGTCAAGAGAAAGTACTGCATTAGTATCGAAAAGAATAAAGGCCATAAAGCTATCTAATAAGAGCGAGTTTCGTTGGCAAGTTATGGTCAACGAATATCTATCTGACAAGCTCGCGTCAAATTCTGATGACGAAAAGAAAATGTCTCGAGCAGAGAGAATAGCGGATAAAGATAAGCGTCGTTGGCAGTAACAAGCCACTTCTTCTTCAAAACCAACGAGTTACAGTCAAGCACTTTGGTATGATTTTGCAGTCATTTTGCGTATAACGTTAAAGCAGAAGTTTTACTTCTCAACATTTCATTCAGATTCATTGGCTGGCATCCTTGGTCTTCAACGTACATACACAACCATAACCTCAGCGCCTCCGACGTCGGCTTGAGAAAAGAATATAACCAAAAAAACTAGCGATAAATAATACATAGTAAACTATTTATTGAGATCTCATTAAATAGATTGTTAACATAATACATAATCCATAATTAGAGATAGATGGAGAAAAGAAAACAAATAAAAAGTTAGTAAAAGTGACCTTTTCCGAGTGAAACCGGATTTAGAGCACCGGCCTTTTATCATCGGAGAGGTTAAATTTCAGATGACTCGAGCAGTATTACACTATATTACTCTCCTCTCAGTTTCCTACCGAGATTTTGCCCAGTAATTAACAATTACAAATAAATTCTGACAATCAGATGAAATAAAGAGGGCGAGGGGGAGGGGGAGGGGTCTTAAAATATCACTATTACACCATATTTATAAAAGGTCGACATGGCAATCTGGCGAGTACTCTCCATTTGACACAGTGAGACCCTTCCCCCCCCC